GCTGGGGATGTAGCTTGATATGAAGCCCCTGGTTTCAGTCACCAGTATGGGGAGAGAGAGAGAAAAAAAAAAGACATATCTTGTTTTAAGGTTCTTCATGATTTTTGTGCTTAGAGTTTCTTCCACTTCTTGCATCTGTAGATTACACCTTTCATCAGTTTTTGGAAAATGTTCAGTTATTATTATTTTTCATTACCTTTTAAAATATTTCCTTGCTTCCTCTCCCTTTCAGAAACTGCAGTTGTACCAAAGTCAAAATGGTTTATATTGTCCACAGACGGCCAATGCTTAGTTCAGTTGGTTGTGGTCATTTTTCTTTTACATTTATGTTGGATAATTTCTTCCATTATGTCTTCAAGTTTTCTTTTTTATTTTGAATTATTTTATGTGCTCTCTAGTGAATTATTATTTCCGATGTTGTAGTATTCACCTCTAGAAGTTTGGTTTGCTGCTGCTTGTATCTCCCATTTCTCTCATCATGTTCCTATGTTATCTTATGAACTGAATGCATTTATAATTACTATTTAAGCATTCTGGTTTACTAAAGGCATCATTTCTGATATTCCTCATTCTGTTATGTATTAATCCATTTATAAGGTTGTACTTTATTTGTTGCCTAGTAATTTTTGACTGGGTGCTAGACATTTTGAATTCTGTGGTTTGTGGATGCTGTATTTTGTTACTTTAAATATTGCTGGGCTTGTTCTAGGACACACTATGTTACTTGGATTTTTTATTTTATTTTTTTATTTTTTATGATTCTGGGAATGGAACCTAAAGTCTTGTGCATGCTAAGCAAGAGCTGCATCACTGAGCTACATCCCAAGCAGCAACCTGATACCTTTTAAGCTTTGTTAGAATGGGATCTAGACTAGGGCTAGCATGAGCCATCTACATGTCCCAGCCTTTGATCTAGGGCTAACATGACCCGTCTCCAATATTCTGAGAACTTACATAGTGTATTTTTTTTCTTTTGTTACTGCTCTTTCCATGTAATCTAGGATACCTTGAACCTGCAGTCTTTCTGCCTCAGCCTCTTAAGTACTGTGGTAACAGGTATACACCACTATTCCTAGTTCCATATCTTATATTAGAAGCTCTTTCCTCTTTGGCTCGTGGAAAAAATGAACCATTTCCAAACTTGTGTGAGCACTTAGAATGGTTGTGCATGTATGGCTTTGTGTAATCTTGGGTAACCATGTCCCTAATCTTAGGTTTTTTTCACATGCATGCACAGCTTCCAGCTAAAGGCTGCAGGGATTTCCTTGCAGATGTCTGGAGCTTTTTCTCTGCAGCTCTATTCTCTGTTGTATTTTGCCGTGCTAGTTGCAGCCACATTACCCTCCCTGAACTCCAAATGTGCTCTCTTTAACACAGCAAGTTGGCTGGACACTGTTGGAGTTGCCTTTCTCTCCCACAACAAGTGATACAGGCAGTGAAATGGGTGGTTCACAGGACTGGTCATGTTTGCTTCCTTTTTCACAGGGGTTTATCTGCTGTCTGCCTTTTGCCCAAAGTCCAGAAACTATGATTTCATCTGTTTTCGTCTGACTTTCTAATTGTTAAGGCAATAGGGTAAGCAGATCCCCTAGTATTCATCATAGAGCAACTGCCAGATTAAATGAAACTTTAAACTCTGAGTATTGAAGACTTTTCCCTGACCACAAGCCAACGAACCAAGGCTTTGGTTTTCCATTTGAGAAATATTTACAAAAAATGCTACTTTTATCCTGAGTTAGATTATATCTGATTTATTTATGTGCTTAAAAAAATAGGTCATACATCTAAATGGCTAGGAAATAAGAGGTGTATAGTCAAAACCTGGCATCAATGTACAAAACAAATTTTTGATTTGTTTTGTTTGTTTTGCTAGGGACCAAATGTAGTATTCTATGTCTTTTACCCACCTAATTCCTGAGTACTGCTGTGCTTCCCCACATCCCTGGGTTAAGTTCCTATTATCTTTCTGTGCATTTGTTCTCACTGACCATCACATATATTCTTATCCTCGTTCCCCTGTTTTACAGAAAGGATAGCACCCACACATACCATGTTTTTTTAAAACAATGTATAATGAGCTGTTCCCATATCAGCTCACAAAAAGCATACTTTTTTTTTTTTTTTTGGTCATGTTGGGGTTGAACTCTGGGCCTTGCACATGCTAGGCAATCTCTCCATCCTTCAGCAGCAGCCCCAGCCCTGTCACATACTTTTTTAATTTTAAAGCTGTGAATATTCTATTTTATGGATTAAATCATAATTTGGTCCCTATGTAATCGGTTCCCAGTTTTTGCTATTGTAAGTAGTGTAAAAATGAGTAGCCATTAACATACCTTATTTTCTACATGCAAAATCATATAAGTAGAACATTTCTATTGATAGAAATATTATTATACTTTAAAAACAGAAAAATAGAAAATATTGGGATGTTATATTTATTTTAAATTTATATTATTGTTAAATTGCCTTCCTTTGAGGTTTACATTGCATCTGCATAATATGGGGATGTCTATTTTCCTGTGTTCTCAAGATCAAATTCAAGTGTTTGTGTGTTAATTTTTAAAATAGCTTCTTGCTGACATGTAACTCAGTGGTACAGCACTTGCCTAGTATGCATGAAGCCCTGGGATTTTTCTCCACCACTACAAAAAAACCCAAATTGTTTAAAAGAGCATTGTATAGTATTTTAAATTTGCATCTTTGTTATGAGTGAGATTGTGCATCTTTCTTGTGTTAAGATATGTCTCTTTCCTTTTTCTATACTCTTGGTATTCTTTATCCATTTTCATATTGCACTGTTGGATATATTTTCTGTTTTTTTTTTTTTTTTGACTGGGGATCAAACTCAGGACCTTATGCTTGCCGGGCAGGGACTTATACGGCTGAGGTATCTTCCCAGCCCTGTATTTTCTGTCTTAAGGGACCCCTTAGTCAAACTAGTTCTTTGTTGCACTACTGTGTGGAAATATATTTCCTATTTGTTGTCTGATTTTTGACATGTTTTTTGCCATATATATATAATGTTTCTAGTTTTTTTAATTATAGTTCAAAAGCATTGGATAATTTAAAAAATAGCCATATACAAACAAAATTTTAAAAAAGATAGCCAAGCCGGGTGTGGGGTGTGCCTGTAGTTCTAGCAGTTAGGAGGCAGGAGGATCCCCACAAATTCAAGGCCAGCCTAGATGAGATAGTGAGTTCAAGGCCAGCAGCAAGACCTTGTCTCAATTTAAAAAAACCCCAAAAGCCAAATACTAGATTCAGAGAGAGAACTATAAAATATAATTTTCTTATGCTAACTAAATGTTCATAGTATAGTATAAGGGGAAGAGATGCTTTTGCTTCATTTTAAACATAAGTATATCCCACAAGAAATTAACAACCAGTGATGCCAGATAGGTGAGAGGCTTAAATAAGCTTGTCATGGTATGGTCAGTTTGTATATTCTTTTAGATAACTGATGTTGTCTCACTTACATATACTATTCTAATAGGGATATCATTTTATTATCTTAAAATTTAATTACAACCTATTGTTAAAAATGTATCTCTAGGCAGGGGAGATATTGGTCTAAGTGTAAGCACAAGGATTTGGGTTCATTCCCCAGTACCACATACAGTGTGGGCCCGGTGTGGGCCACTGAAGCCAGGTGTGGTGGTGCATCCCTGTAATTCCAGTGCTGGGGAGGCTGAGACAGGAGGATCACTACAAGTTCAAGCTGTGTAGTGAGACCCTCTATTAAATAAATAAATAAAAGATTTTTTTTTAAATAAAAGATTTTTTAAAAAATGTATCTCAGGGCTAGTGAGATCAGTGAGACAGCCAAAATAGCTCAGTGGGGGTTTGATCCCCAGGCCTGCCACCAGTCCCCACCCTGGGGCACACTGAGACGGCACCTGAGATTGGGCTGGTGGTGCATGCCTGTAATCCCAGCTCTTGGGAGGCTGTAAACAGGTAGATCACTATGAGTCTGATCTCTTAGTGAGACCCTGAACACAGTGTAAACCCTTCCCTAAAAAAATAAAAAAGGAAACAAACAAAGATACTTTTTGATTATCTTTCCTTTTGTCTATAAAAGGCAATTGTGGGTATGAGATCTTTTAACTCTTCGCAAATATTGAATTAGCATAGTTCAAGATTAGGAGACCAATTGATAGCCCATACTTTCTGATGGCATTGTGACTACCTCCTTACCTTGATCTGTCAAAGCCCCATTTCTCTTTCAGTGCACTATTTATTAGAAAAGGGGAAAGAGAGACCAGGGAGATAGCTCAGTGGCTTAAGCACCTGCCTGGTAAGCACAAGGTCCTGAGTTTGATCCCCAGTACAAAAATAATAATAATAATAATAATAATAATAATAATAATATACTAATAAAGGATGGGGAAAATAGTTGTGTCCCCAGCTGCTTGGAGAGGGTTCTGTTTGCTTCCCTCACCCATTTGGTGTGTGCTCCATTGTGTTTATTATGCTACTTTGGCTGTGTTCTTTCGCTTTGAGCATTGTGGCTTGCAAACTGAATGGTGGGTAATTAATTTTGTCTCCACATAGACAAATGGACCTTTTCCTTTTGGCAAGTATGATGGGATTTGAACAGTTGTCCAACATTTTACATGTTCTCTTAACATTTTAGGCTTCTGTTGATTATTATTTTACTTTTTGACTAGCTTTATAAACTCAGGCAATCTTTGAGAACGTTGTTCAAGCAAGTGTGTCACTTCAGTATTAATGATTAAATCTATATATAGATCAAAGCAGGATGTATTTTGGCTAAGAAAATATGAACAGAGCAACTTGTATTTGAATATCTTAGATCATGAAGTTTTGTCTGATGTACTTCCTACTCGTAAAAGAGACTTTGTTTACTTTAAGGAAAGCTGTCCAAACATTTAAACATAAAATCATTTAAATTTCAGTTTAACTTTGATAAAACATAATTTAAATAATCTTAAATTAGTGATCTTCTCTCTTATGAAACTTACTATGTTTAATTTTCCCAGCAGAAATTCAGGAAGCAAAAGCTCCCAGTCCTTCCATTAACCGGCAAACCAGCATTGAAACGGATAGAGTGTCTAAGGAGTTCATAGAATTTCTCAAGACCTTCCACAAGACAGGCCAAGAAATCTATAAACAGACCAAGATGTTTTTGGAAGCAATGCATTACAAAAGGGTAGGTTGAGAATAACCACTTAAGAGTTTTGGTTTTAGGAAAGGTCTTAGAAGTAATGTAATATGATTCTGTCAATTTATACCTGAGAAAATTGAGACTCAAAAGATGTTATTTGCCTAAGAAAAGCCTCTGACCCAAGTGAGAACCTGACTCCCAGGCTAGTACTTTTCCACTGTGAGTAGTGTTTAGGTCATCTTTTTGTGGAAATTCTGACTTTGAAACCACTTGAATTATGTACTTGGGTAACAGGCCCTCCTAACTTGTTGCCTCATAACTAAGCTGCTACTTTAGATCTTAACTCTGTAATGACTTTTAGGCCAGCAGCAATACTTTCAGGGAGTTTTGTTGTTACTTGTTTCAGTTTTTAAATTAGGATTTAAATTTTTTCTCTCCTTATTTGGTTAGAGAAAGAAAGATAGAATTTAGATATTGAAAAGGGCCTTAGCAACTCTCTGGTTTCAGTCCTTTTATTTTATAGATGAGGAAATTGAGAACTAGAGACTAAAGTACATGTCCAAGGTTACACAGGTGGAATTTGGCCAGTGTCAGAAATAGAATTTTGACTTCCATACCTGTGTCGTTCGTTAACCCAGAATTTCTAACCCATGGTTCAGTTCAGTAATTCCTAAGGCTGCAGTGGAATTTTTGTAAATAGAATCAATTCGGTTTTGTTATAGTATGGGCACTAAACTCAGAACTATCTCTAAAACTTAAGAGGAAAGAAAAGGAATGAGGAAAACAGCAAGATGATTGCCTGCTTAGCTCTCTTCTGGCTGTGGTCAGACATTGCTAGGCTAATGGGCGGTGGGCTTCTTCAAGGTATTTTTTAAATATCAAATTGAGTTTGTAAAAGAGAACAGCTTTCTTGTTCTTTAGGAAAATAGTGGCACTGTGTGATCAAGGTAACTGTGAGCAAGTAGTGACATTTAGTTAAAGCAAGCAAGCCATCTCTGATTCTTGTGTGTGTTAGAAGCAATTCTTTGGCTCGGGAATAAGTGCTTCCCTGGCAAGCTCAAGGGCCTGAGTTCAATCCTCGGGTCCACCAAAAAAAAAAAAATAAATAAAAATAAAAAAATAAATAAAAAAATAAATAAATAAATAATAATAATAATAATGATAATAAAAATAAAATAAAGAAGCAATTCTTAATGTGGGAGAATTCAGCATTCATGTGACATATAATTTTTGTTTTGTTTTTTTGACATGGGGTCTCGCTGTGAAGTCCAGGCTGACTTTGAGATATTCTTCCCTCAGCCTTGGGTGCTGAGATGCCAGGCCTGTGCCTGCCATACAACATTGAAAAATATTTTTTTATCTCCTCCATTATTTATTCTTGTAACCTTGAACGACATATTTGAACATGTAGTTCTTGTTCCACCAAGTGTTATCATGATCTCCTGACTTTTAGTTTTGAGTTTAGGGCTCTTACCCTTCACTTCACCTTTTCTTTCCCTTCTCTCCCTTTCATATTTGGGTAGCTGTTCCTTACATTTTAGCATTATAATTGAATACATTGACTTTTTATGATTAAAACTTGAGAGTGTTTCTTCCTATATATTGAATTTAAAAGTTAAAAGTGAAGGAAAAGAACATTTATATTATTGTGATTTTCTAAATATTATTCACCACAGGTCCTAACAGTATGATTAGATATTTCTCCTTAGGTCCAGGGTTATGTTTCTAGAAAAATACAATCCTGCCCCAAACACATAGTTTCACTGTGTAATTGAGGCTCACCTTGATCTTACTTTGTAGCCTAGGCTGGCCTCAAACTCAAAGTGCTCTTCCTGCCTCTCCCTTTGCAGTGCTGAGTTAGCACCATGCCCAGCCAACTTTCATTTTTTTCTCATGTAGTGTATTGGTGAGCCATCATAAAATATTCACTGGAGCATTTATACTATAGTGCATATAGCATGTATGCTGTGTAATGCTATATTTTAGAATCCGAAACAACTTAGATTTGCTTTTCTTTTATTCAGAAACATAACAGACCCTTGATCTATAAGAATTTAATTGATTGGCTGGCCAGATAGCTCAGCGGACTAATGCGCCTGCTTAGGCAGAACGCAGCAGCTGGGGTTTGATCCCTGGTGTGCTGTGCTGGCCCAGTCCTGGGTATGCTGAGATGGTGATTGAGACTGGGTGTGGTGGCACGCGCCTATAATCCTAGTGCTTGAGAGAATCACTATGAGCCTGATCTACATAGTGAGACCCTGTAGACCCTGTGCTAAATACATAAAAAAGAATTTAATCGACTTTTTGATCAGTACTAAAGGCATAACTGGTATAGACACCATCATGCCTGTTGTCAGAGGCAGCCTTACCAATTGCATCAGACACTTGGATATGGCCTCAGGCTCTTTATGTGTGAAGAGCCACTGTCCAACCCATTTCCCATTTCATGACTTCCATACATGTGTCTCAGGTGTCTTCAGCCTCAGAACAGTACTTGGCACACAGCTGGTACTGAGCAAATGCTTTGTAACTGAGTGTCCCTCCATATGCCCTTTTGTCCTCTAGCTGCAAGTTACTGTCCTACCACCTGTAGTCCCTGCAGAAGCCCACAAGTTCAATTTTAGTATATGTGCTGCTAAAGTGAGCACAGCCCACAAGTTCAGGTCAGCATGTGCAACATAAAAACCAAGCCAAATAAGCAAATACTACTAGACTGCACTTAAAGTAACTAAGGCTTTGGAGGAACTTTTTTGCTGCCCCAACTGTTCAGATCCTGCCCTTGATAAGCATACAAAAAAGATCCCTCATTTTCCTGTATTCTAAAAAGTGTAGCCTGTCCTTTCTATAAGGGTGACCCTGCATTTTCTCAGTGTACCGTCTTTTAATGTTAGCTATTGCTTGAAACTCTTTTGATAAACTAAATTTCTCAATTCAATGTTTTAAAACAAGGATCTTACATTAGCAGTCACCTGGATGAGCTCTTTCTCCCTACTAAGGAAGCAGTCAAGCAAAACCCAAGGCCTTTGTCTCTTTCATTGTTTCCCTCTGAACTCCCTGGACAGTCATTCTTTCAGAATCTGGTACTGATTATGTTAAATGAACTTAGAATTTTCCCTAGTGTTAATGTTCAACTATGTTTTCCATATTTGAATGAAGAACAAAAACTCATAATTTAAAATGTGATTACATCTTCAGCCACCTTTTCTTTTCCAAAAATAAATAGATAAATACTTTAGGATGATCTCACTATTCTAAACCACACATTTATAAGGAGTAGTGTGCTGCATTTAGCTACCTGTTACGAAGAAACCTTAACAAAATAGGCTTTTGAAAAAAATCAAGAAAAACAACATGGGATCCAATTTTAAAATTAGAAGTAGTGTGTTCTCACTTATATGCAAAAGCTAAAAAAGTCCGCTTCGTGAAAACAGAGTTGAGAAGAGTGGTTTGCAGAGGTGGGGGAGGGGTGGCGCGTGGGTGAGGTGGGTGGGAGAGAAGGGAGTGGGCCCTGGTGTGCAGCTGGGCAGGGGGCAATCCCATAATGCTCTCTAGCCCATGCTTCACTGTGAATTTCCCAAGTGCTAGCAGAAAGGTTCCCAATATGGGAAAATGCTGTTTGAAGTGGTGAGCATGCTAATATATCACTGTACCCGGCACCTATGTCCGATTAGTATATGCCAATTAAAAGTTTAGAGGGAAGGGGGCCGGGGAGATGGCTCAGTGGAATAAGCACTTCCCTGGCAAGCACAAGGGTCTGAGTTCAGTCCCCAGTTCCACCAAAAAACAAAGAAAAAAAATGTAGATGAAAGGTTGATTGATGACCATACTGAAAGTGATAAATGAATAAAAATAATGAAAAACACCTCATGAAGAGGACAGCCATGCATGAGAGTGACTGTGGGAGACTTGGAGAGCCGTGGGCCCCACGCTTGCGGCTGGAGCGGTGCAACTCCAGCTCTGGGCTGTCTCTCAGGGCCTCACCTCAGGTATGCACAGCATCCTTGCTGAGCCCTGGCTAGGCAGTTCCACCTTCCAGCAGGGGGGCTCGGCACGGTGGCGCAGGTCGCAGGTCGTAGGGGCAGGGGGCTGCAACCGGAAGCTTTCTGCCTCCTACAGAGCTTTGTTCTGTTCTGTGTTCTTGTTTGCCTTTTTGCTTGTTATAGATTATGGAAGACTGGTTCATCTTTTCTTATCTGCGTGGCCTAAGTGACAGTGGCTACACAAAATTAAACCTGTTGCAGTTTCATTAATGAACTCTGATTCAGGAGTTGAACACTTTTTTTCATGCCACGTGATCGGCAGTGTTACAGCCTTAGAGAAAGGGCAGATGGGAGACTAGGGGCCTTTGGCGTGCGATGAGTAATGGTCATCTCTTCAAGCTTAATGATGGCAAAGTATTTTAAACAAACAAAACCTCTTTGGGGATGATGCTGTTGTGCTGCTTGCGTGCTTCCGTCTGCACTGTGTGTCTCATCCAATTCACTGTAACTACAATATGTAGCCTACTGCATACTTCATTCAGGAGGGAAGGTGAAAGGTAGGATATGTTTGTTTTTTAAGTATTTTATGATGACCTTTATATATAAAGAAAAGATAGAAATTCATTTATAATTAGTTGTTAGCTACTAAAAATGATGGACTTCTGGGTTTTATTCTTAGAAATGAGAAATAAGTAACTGGACTGTAACAGTTCTTGGTACTTTTATTTTGCCAATAATTGGATTTTAAAGAGCCCTGTTTATTCATGTAAATGTTTAAATCTATATTCAATTAGTGACTAATAACCTAGTGAGATAGACTTTCATAAAATAGGAGGAGTGCATGCATGGTATACTTTAAATGTTAATGCTTAAGGGCCGGCCAGATAGTTCAGCAGATTAAAGCGCCTGCGTAGGCAGATACAGCGGCCAGGGGTTCAATTCCTGGCCTGCCATGCCAGCCTCACTTCCAGGGCTTGATGAGACTGCAATTGAGACCGAGCGTGGTGGCGTGCGCCTGTAATCCCAGCACTTGGGAGAGGGAAAAACAAGAAGGATCACTACAAG